CCCCAAAACCCCAAAACCCCAAAACCCCAAAACCCCAAAACCCCTTTTATGAATGGTAAAATTGACCCTTGGAATAGCTTTAAGCTGATGTTTCAGATCAAATCCGATTAAGCTGTTCTAAAGTTCTTCAAGTAATTCATGAATAACTGAATCTGGTACAAGCTTGAGGAGGGTCTTCAAAGAGTCGGCAAGTCTGTAGCCTCCTAGAGCAAGTTGCTTGTCAATAACATCTCTAGCCTTGTCGTCATATTCCTGAGTGATGGTATCTCCGCTGTGAAGATTGAGGTTGTCATAAGCGACTTCTTTGGCAAGCTTTCCTGATTCTTTACACCAATCTTCGAAGGATTTCACCTTCAATTCTGATTTAAGGGCACTTCTTGGCCAAACTTCTGTAATATTTGCTGAATATCCTTGCAATTTTTCATAGTGAGCATCTGTTAGTGGAACTTTGATTGATGCAGAGTACTTGTTAGCACATGCATCCCAGAAGGTATGAAGTTTCTTCAACGAGTGCTTCAGAGGGTAGAAGATTTCAAACAAATTGCCTCCCAAATCACCCTTAGGGAACAACTCGCTGAAATAAGTAGCTGTATGTAGTGGCTGATGGATATCTCCAACAATATGGATGATGAATCTCATGCAAATAGATTTTCCAATAAGAGCAGCATCTCCTTTCGCATTTTTAATAGTGTTCATTCACTCGTCAAACAAGGTAATAGCATTGTCTGATGCCAACTCAATTTCTCCGGTGAAATCTGGGTCAACAACGGGCTCGTTAAGGAAGTGGAGAATATTGAACACCTTCCACTGCATACCTTTAATATCATCAGGCCATGTAGCAGCACTGATAAATTCGTGATCTGGGTCCAAAAAGTACTTTCCAATTGGAGCTAATATGGCCTCAGCCTTAGCAAGGGTCTGGGGATCATTTTGTTTCAAATCATTGTATGCAATAGTAGAAGCTATACAAATTATAAACAAGATGTCAAAATTAATACTTACTTATCAAATGTCCGGTAGCAGACCAGCCATAAACACATGATAGGCTCGTTAACACTAGAATAGATAGCAATAGAACTCTCATATTTTATTATTATAAGTAACCAATTATACAATATAAGTATGGGGTTTTGGGGTTTTGGGGTTTTGGGGTTTTGGGGTTTTGGGGTTTTGGGGTTTTGGGG